TGACCGGGGTCATCTTATTTAACCGAGGCCAGGGTCATCTTATTTAACCATGGCCAAGGTCATCTTATTTAACCAGTGACTCAGGTCATCTTATTTAACCATGGCCGAGGCCATCTTATTTAGCTGGAGCCACTTCTTAGGGAAGACAAGCATCGGGCCATCAATCTGATGGCTGGCAGCCGTTTGCCTTCAGCACAGCATCCTCAAGATGAGGAATTATCACCACCGCACCCAGACACTTTGGATGCTGCTTCAAATCACAGCAACAGTAAAAATTCATGAGAATACGAAGGGTTTAGAATCTAGAGGGGAGGGTTGGATACGATCTGTTGTGGAGATACCTGCGCAATTTAATTGCATCTGTAAGATGGAAAACGGGATGGTGAAGCACACGAGACGGTAACGTGCTTTCGAGCCACCAGGGAGGGGCCGAGTCAGGATCAAATCCGGGCGCGCTCTGACCCCCCACGCGGCCCTCCTGTAGGGACAGGCCCTGAGGGGGCCCCTTTCCCAGAGGTTTCTCGGGTGCAAGCCTGCTTTGGAGCCTCTCAGGCTGGCCACATGGGGGGACAGAGGCTGCTGTTGCCTCCAGTGTCCCTTCTCCCCCCTTTCCTTAGCAAGGGAACGCTGTGCGCTAGAACTTTCCAGAAGGCAAAGCAGGAGTTTGGAGCCATCCTCCTCAGGGCTATCTGAGGAAGGAGTGATGGCTGAAGGTCCGATGGGGACCTGGACTAGGAGTAGAATCATTGGCAAAGCAGAAACCAAACAGGGGCCTGTGCCTCGCGGCTGCCATCCCTGTGCTGGGCTTTTCCTTCCTCAACCGAGGCCATGTTTTTACTGATTTTAGAGAGAGAAGGAAGAGGGCGAGAGGGGAGAGAGGAAGGGCAGAGTTCTGTGGCCAACAGAAGAGCTGACTTCCAGTCAACTGATAAGGAATCAGTTCCCTCCCGAGGCGGCACGAGCTGGGTTACGAGCTTTTCTGACTCCCGGGGGGTGTCTCGGGAGCCGGGCGGTCTCTCCAGGGTGGGTCGGGACGGGTGACGCCACGCAGCCTGGGGTCTGCTTCCCGGGAGAGTGTTAGGGTGGGTTGGCACACACGTGCGCGCTCCACAGACGGGAGTAGAAACTGGCCAGGTCAAGGGTGGGCCCGAAACTGGAAGGCAGAGGGAAGGGAGGGAGGGAGTGGGGGTGTGGGAGCCTCTGGGGGTAGGGGGTCCCCTGAGCATCCTTTGTTGGGGCCAAAGTGTAAGAATGACAGAGCAGGTGTCAGACGCGAGGAAGGGCCATGGGGAAAGCGTGAAGAGACACAGCCCGGCACCACATTGGAGCTCAAAACAAAACAGTGCTCCCCACATGAGGGAGAGCTTAGCCAAGAACAACTCAGGTGACGGCCTCCGGAAAGACCTGGGTCCCTCCCTTCTCCCCTTTTCCCTTCATCAAAACCCTAGGCATCCTGCCCGGCACAGCCAGGCTGCTTCCTGCCCAGCTCCTCCGCCCCTACAAGAGAGAGATTGGGGCAGCACATGGAAACTCAGAATTTATAAAGCTAAGTCACACACTGGGGAGGGGGCTACATCCTGGGGCCTCACCTCTGAAAATAAATCAGGATTAAAAGGCTGCTTACTTCCGTCTGCATCAGAAGGCGCTCCCTGATATTAAAACAACAACAACAATAACAGCACACACACAGAATGCAAAACTCAACTCCCTGCTTTTGTCAACTCGGGAACTGGCTCGGCTGTGTCTTGTCAGTATGTTTAAAGCACACACAGGGAGATGTTCCTTCCAGCTGTCAGAAAACTTCTTTGCTCTTCCGTCCGTCCAGTATCCCCAAGAAAAACAAGGGAATTTGTGGCTTGGTTTCCCTGGCAACCTTATCTTCACTCCAGGCCCATCTCCTGTCTCTAAGCAACAGGGCGCTCTTCAGAATTACCCCGAGGTGAAACCCAGGCTTCTGGGAGTCCTCCCAGACCACACGGGTCAGGGGAGAGCACCTGGCCCCCCACAGGGCTGGGCCCCGGGCCCAGGCAATCTCACGGCCCCTCTGCCCTCCCCAAACCCACACGCACCCCGTCTTCCTTGTGCCTGGACTCCCGCCTGCCCACTCTCCTCCCCGGGCTGATGTCTCTGCTGCAGAGGGGCCGGTGACTCAGTTTATCAGCCAGTGCCTCCCATAAGGCCCCACAGCTCCAGCAGGAGAGGCAAGCTGACCCGGAGACCGGGACGCACAGGGAGCACTGAGATGCCACGGGGACACGGATTGCATAAGCAAGTGGCTCTGCTGGGGGAAGCGCGTGGTTACGAGCGCGTGAGACAAGCTGCCCTGTCGCTGCACTGACACGGAGGAGGGGTTTGCTCAGCAAAGGGGGTTCGGGGATACTAAGTTTCCCCGTCAGCGTGACCCCGCCTCTCCCCTGACATCTCCGAGCCAGGAAGGGTTTCTGAGGACATGCAGAAGGGGAACATACAGAAGGGGACAAACACGCAAGGTATCTGGACTTCAATCAGAGTGAACGAGGGCTGAGGAGTGTTTTGGGGGAGTGGGGGGAGGCACTGTCTGTCGGGAGCAGAGGGGGGAGGGTGGTGAACTGGGCAGCGTCCCTGGGGCACAGACTTCACAGTGAGGTCCCCAGGACAGCGGACGTCCTGTCTGCAAAGCCCCGGCTGAGTGGGGAGAAGCTGTTCTGAGGTGGCTGTGTGGACACTGACCAGCTACGTGGCCTGGCACGTGTGTGGGGGGCATGTCCTGCAGATGACACAGCACCCAGAGGAGTGGACGAGGAGCTGTCCTCGGAGCAGCTCCCCCCAACCTGCCCTGCACCCCAACATCAGACGTGACGACGGGCCTGCCGAGCCATCCCCAATATCTGCCTCCCCGATGCTAGGAAGACATCTGTAAGTTACTGGAAACGCTAAATTCTAAGACAGAAGTGTGTTCAAACCCCCTGGCTTTCATTTCTTCCTGGATTTACATAACAGGTAGAGGATGGCAGACTGGCAGACGTGGGCAGAGTCTGGATGGGAGCCAATCCCGGGGCAGACACAGAATGTGGCTATCCTGGATCGGAAGGCCCGCAGGGCACGGCGTCCGTCCATCCGTGTGTCCGGCCTGTGGCGGGAGGTGACACCATCCCCAAGTAATTTTTCTGTCACTTTTTCTGTGTCTCCACCCTCGGGGCGCCAGGGTGATTCTCACGCTCCCACCCACCAGCCTGTGCCTCGTTGCCCGCCCAGGGACACGCCATGCCGAGCGAGCAATCACCCAGACGGGAGCCCGCGCTAATGACAGTGTCAGGCTTCCCACCCACCGAGCGGAGACGCAGCTGATTAGAGGAGAACGTGGCAGTGTTTCCAAACCCTGGAGGAGGTGGAAGCGCCTGCCACAGGAGCCACCTGCGGGGTGAAAACTCAGATCATGGGGGGCGTGCCCACCTGGGATGGCCGAGACCAGGGTCGGGCGGTCTGGGAGGGTCCAGACACTGCCCCCGCTATCCTGCTGGGGAAACTGAGGCTTCCCCAGGTGCAATAAGGCTACCCTGCCAGCCGAGCATTGCGTGGCTCCTTGGAGAATGTGGGGGAGGGCGTGTTAGTGGTCCCCGTGGACCCTTCAGCCTGGCATTCGGTGATGTCACGAGCAGTCACGCAGACAGTACATTATTCATCTCATCTATTTAACGGCGTTAATCACCTCGACAGGGTCCTCACCCCACCCTGGCGGGCCAGGGCAGTCCCATCTGCAGTCTCCTTGACACGGGCCGCAGCTCACGGGCTCTGGGCTGGTGGTGGCGTGAGCCTGAGCGTCCTCTTTCCCCGCCTGGTCCCCGTGTGCCACCGTGTGCCGCCGGCAGCTCAGACCGCGCAGGGAGGAGCCGGTGGCCAGAGGGGACTGATGGACTCGTTTTCCGGGGACGAGGACCGGACAGGACGCGTTTGGATGAGATTCCTTCGCATCCCTTTGAGCTCTCCGTGTACCTTCCTCGCGTACAAAGCAACAGCAGCGCCCTGTGGGGACCATAAGCTCCTCGTGAAAAGGGATCAGAAGGAGCTCCATTGCTACCTGATGCTCACTTCCCCTCGGGTGCAGAAAGGGAGCCGCGGTCGTGGGCGGGTGGTTCTGGGTGTTCACAGACCCCCCAGGGGCTATCTGTCCACAGTTCTAGAGCAGGAGAGAACCCCTTTTAGAGAAACAGGTGTGAGGGGTGCAGCGGTTTACCTGCTTTGGGAAGAAATGGTCGTGACTGATGGAGGCTGCGGCTGCCAGCCCCCTTGGCACCTGCCCCCCCCCCGGCACCCGGAAGGGTGCCCATGCTCCATATGTGGCAGTGCCCCTCTCGGAGGCTGCTCTCGTCCTTTGGAAAGCGATGCCCCGAGGAAAGGACGTGCCTCGGTGACACCTGCCTCGTAAAGTGCTTTTCAGGCAGCAGATGACACTCGAGCTCTGAGCCGTCGGGGTTCCCGGCCCGAGGGGAGTGGGCTCCCTTTCGGCGTCGGTGTCCAGTGCCGCTAAATAACGCGAGTGTCGTTTTCGGAGACAGAACGCCAGCACTTTATTTTTCTCAATTAAAATAAATCCAAAGACACAAAACCAATTCCTCCGAAATGCTAACAAGGGAAGGTCTGGCAAGGCCATTTCAGGAAGCTGCCACAGGCTGGACCAACGGCAAGGCTGATCACTGAACTCGGCACTTTCAGACCAGGAAGCGGAACGAGACATCGAGAGTTTACAGGAATCGGATGACAGTGAGAAGTGGGGCTCCAAAGGACTCAGATACACGAAGAGAGCAAGTGACTGAGGGGAAAAGGGGTGACGCTGTTCGAAGTGACAGGAACGGGAAGCTTCATCCCACAAGGACCCATCGAGAAGAAGGGACCCCAGAAATATAGACAAGAAACATCTGCACACCCCTCTAAAGAGGACCCGCACCCCGGCTGCCCGGCCCCTTCCCAGCCAGGCAGCTGGGCCGGCGGCAGTGCCTGCCCCGTGGCGGGCAGGGCCTCACCTGGGATGTTGTGGATGGTGATGGCCAGGATGAGCAGCATGATCCTCCTCCAGCTGCTGCCGCCGGGCGGGGCCGCAGGCCCTGGAGCAGACTCGGGGACGGCTGGGCCCTCGGGGTGGTGGGGGGCTGCCGCCCTCTTCCTCTGGTACGCCTCGCCATTCTCGCTCTTGTCTGGGCAGAAAGAGGGACGGGAAGAGAGGACTGTGAACAGGAGGAAGTGCTTTGGACGTGGGCAAGCGGCGCCGGAGGGGGCTTTCAGATGGGGATGGGAGACGCTTCCCAACTTGCTGATGTACCAACTGTGCGTTCTCCCCGTGTTCCTTCACTTCCTCATCCCTCTGCTTCTTCATGCACTCACGCATCCACTCAGTCACTCTGCAAGCACTCACTGAGCGGACGCTCGGCGCCCAATGGGAAGGCACTAAGAGGGGGAAGGAAGGTGAAAACAGGATGCACTGGCCATGCCCCTTTCAGAGAGGTGAAGCGGGACAGGGGCGAGAGTGGAGCAGGGGCGAGAACGGGGCAGGGGTGAGAAGTGCAGATCCTAGAACCAGACTGCAGCCCGAAAGCTGCTAAGCCTCTTTGAGCCTCAGTTCCCTGATTCTCGAGGCGGGATAACAGTGCCTGCTGCGTCGGGCTTTTGCGAGGATGAAAGGAGAGGCTGCACGGAAATCCCAAGACTGTCCTAAGTGCTGTGTGTGGGGAAGTGGTGCTGTCACACGCCCTGCTCGTCCACAGCCCCCAGAGCTCTACTCTGTGACTCTCCTGGTCACACCGACTCCTGGGACCCATTCAAGTGTATGTGTGTGTGTGTGTGTGTGTGTGTGTGTGTGAGTGTGTCCGCACATCCGAGTGCCACCCTGTCCCAGCTTTCCTGCTCAGATGTCAGGCAGCCCCAGTGCACATTTGCATGTGGGTGGGTGTCTGTGCACACCTGGGGGAAGGCTGTTGTACATTCTGACAACATCTAAGGACTCAGGCTGTAGAGGCTGGATGGGAAACTGAACTACATATCTGGGATTTATAAATATATATATATTGATTACTGAGAAGGAACAGGAATAAGAGAGAGAGAGAGAGAGAGAGAGGAAAGAGAAACATCGATGATGAGAGAATCATTGATTGGCTGCCTCCTGCTCGCCCCCTACTGGGATTGAGCGTGCAACCTGGGCATATACCCTGACGGGAAATGGAACCATGACCTCCTGGTTCATAGGTCAACGTTCAACCCCTGAGCCACCCCAGCTGGGCTAAGTATCTGGGATGCTAAGCCCAGGAACACTGACACGAGCAAGCAGACAGGAGTGCAGGCAGGAAGAGGAAGCAGGAAGCAGGAAGCAGGAAGCAGGAAGCAGGAAGCAGGCCGCACGCTGGCAGAGGTGGCCCAATGCCAGTGGGAATAGCCGGCGGACACCACGCACTCCCTGGGCCTCCTCAGAGCGTGGGAGGCGCTAAGGGGAAAAAACAACCCCAGATCCAAACTCTTCCCTTTAGAATTTTATAACTTCAGGGTGCGAGGCAGGGAAGACGTGAGTTTAAATCCAAGGGGCAGGCCTGCGTCTCTGCCCAGCACTGAAGGCGGCGCTCACTGCTGTGAGCGACACGGAGGAGCAGGCCCTGTGTCTCCTGCAATGACACTCGAGAGCCAGAGTCGTGACGGCGCCAGCAAACTGCAGCCCGGAGCGTGGGTCTCCCGGGAGGGTCGTGAGGCAGAGTCGTGAGCCCGGGAAAGAAGCCAGGCCCTGGGGTCCCAGGTGGGGGGCACAGAGCCTGGGAACGCCCGGCAGACGCAGGAACCTTAAATAAGCCGCCACTAATGAGCCCTCATCAATGAGGGGTTCGGAGGACTCTGAGCAATGCATCTTCCTGCCTCTCCCGCTCCAGGCTCGTTAAACCGTTACACACCACCGAGTAAGACAAATGCCAAGTGCCGCGCCTGCGCCGTGGGCAGAGGGACCGCCTTGGGGGCTGCCGCCACGGCTGGGGGGAGCGGACACAGAGCGAGACCCAGGAGACTTCTTGAAAGAGGAGAGGATCTGACTGACACCTCTGAAGCAGGCCTGGGCCAAGAGGAAGGGCACTCAGGCATGGAACAGCTGAGGCCAAGTTCAAAGACGGGAAAATATCAATGGCCCTGGCTGGCAGGCGATGCTGAGGAGTTATTTTAATAACCCGAGTCCTTACAAAAGCCCTGCGAAGGGGTCACTCCTTCTCACAAATGAGCAGAGAGGGGGCGTGACTGTCCCAGGTCACTGGCCCTCCTCCACCTCCTCACCCCCATTGGGCTGTGGGGGGAGGTCAAGCCAAGTCCTCTGCCTCCTGGGGACTCCTCCTGCCCAGGCCGCTTGGGTGACTGTGGGGAGGGGAATGACGAGGAGCCAGGGCCACAGTTCTTCCCAGAGGGAGGAAAGGAACCATGTCAGGGCGGGTCATCATCAAGAGCCTCTCTTAGACTCTGAAGGGAACCCACACAGAGAGGGGACCCCTGGCGGGGCTCACTGCGTCCTCCCACGTCACCTTTGCAGGAGGGGCCCGCGCTGCTGCATGGGAGAACGAGCACCCCAGCAGGACGGGCGGACGGACGGACGGATGGACCAGTCCAAGGCCCACTCCTCCATGGGACCTGATGGGACACAGGACTCCCTGGGTTCCCCAAACCAGAGGCACGATCCTTGTCCTGACACATTGGATCACAGAGCAAAGCAGACCGGGGTCCGCGGGGATCACCGGGCAGGAGTCGGGCTGCCTGGGGAGCCCCTCCCCTCAGGGACAACTGCCTCCCTCCCCTCCCCAGGAGTGATGAGTCCCGCCTTCTCCAGATCAGGGGCCCACACCTGGATCAGCAACTGCTTCTGGAAGCTGCCATCTTCTCTCCGGCAAATAACAAAAACAAAAACATCTACATGATTTTAAAATGATTTTTTGGAACCCTCACGGATTCAAGGCCCTCGGATGAGAACATCTGGGTAAATGCTAGATTGGCCTTTGTTTCCAGAGCCCCGGGCCCAGTGCCACCAGGAACACAGGAAGCTTGCTGTCCGGGTGGCGGGGGGCCCATCTCCCGGGCCGAGGCTGGGCACTCAGGCCCCCGGTGAATACCGCAGCGCTAATGACCAGATTGCCAGCCACGAGGATCTGAAACATGTCCCCGGACGCCACTGGGCGAGATCTGGTTGAATTAGTACAAACGGGCAAATCCTCGGCTGCTTCGGGCAGAAATTTTCAAATCCCCGGAGAAACACCTTCTCTGAAAGCTAAACCCATTAGGAAACATAAATGGACGGTGTATGTTTTCCTGGTGGGTGAACCCCGTAAGCACGAACAAAATGGAAAGGCCCTAAAGCAGGGAGCCGGAGGGGCCGCTGACTAATGTTTTCCCTCTTTTCTGGTTTCCCAGGGCATCACGGTAATTGGGGGAAGAAAGTCAATTAGCCAGGAGTGTGGCAAGGCTTGCTAAGGAATTGGGTTCTGTTTCCCTAATCGTTCATGGGATTAGCATGACTTCCTTTATGTAATTTACACTGAACTTGAACATGAAATAATTACTCAACATTGGCATCAACACTGACAGACAGAGGTCCAAGAGAGCCCTTCTGACAGTCACGTGGGGATTTCAGAAAGAGCCTTGGCAGAGGGCCCCTCGGCCCCGAGACATCAAAACCAAAGCCTCTGACCATCTCCAAACCTATCGGCAACTCTCCCGGTGTCTCCCTTCTGTAAAACTACAAGCACAACCACATTAGAGAGCACTGCCTCCAAAAAGACCGCTGCCCAAGGACAGGTGTCCGGCATCCCTGACACGACAGCTGTCATTTGTCCTTCATCTGTGCCTAGTTTTTGTACGCTGATGCTCTGTATGTTGGCAGGGAGTATGGTGACGGAACAGATGCTGGATCACACTGGCTGTGGTGGGATCACGGCTCTGCCAACCACAGGATCATGGCTCTATCAACCTTGAGACAGTGGCTCCGTCACTCATTGTTCTGTGCCTCAATGCCACTGTGGTAAAGAGGGTTGTTTAATAATCATATCTCCTTATAAGGTTGCTATGAGAACTAAAGTCTACGCAGAGTTCTCAGCACAGTGCCTGGCACGGGAGATCCACAGCCAACGCTAGCTATTCTATTATTATTGTTTATATGCTTTAACATACGGTTTCACATCCCACTTGTTTCACTTGAAATTTCAGAAACAGTTTCTAGATTTCTGAGTCTCGCTGCCTCTCGTTTTCAATGGCTGGAGGGCACTCTGCTTATTTCTAAGCCTGTCCTTTGCGGAACCATTTCCTCTTTTTCAGCGTTTGAAGGGTCAGACTTGTCCAGAGGCTAAAAGGTGCAGTGCCTGGATCTTACCACACGGGGGCAAACTCCTCCTGCTCCCTCCCACCCAGAATGGGCACCTCCCCTCCCCCCAAAGGCTCCAGCCTTGACTCCACGCAGGAGATCTTTGTTGTATGGCGTCATGGCTCATGTGCCACTGGAGGTGTGCAAAGGGGCTGAGTTGCCCCAGGAAATGGCTGAGCATGTGAGGGGAAGCTCCTGTTGCAAGCCGGGGGGTCTGCACAGCATCCTAACCTTCCGGGTGCTTGCCTGTGACTAATGGCTGCCCCACAACCGTTTTCCTACAACTGGACACAGTGGAGCTGCGTCACATGTGCATTTTACAAACGCAAATGCAGGCATAGGCGCCCGAAAATAAAAGAGAGAAAACTCCCTTCGTCTACCCAACACTCCCTCCCACTTTCCACTACTACATCTTCAAAGTAATTTTGGCTTCAATGTCCCCAAAGAGGGGAGGTATCTGTTCTGATTCTCAACATTTCTGTACTAAATGCTGTCTTTAGAAGCCATGGAGACATGGCTCAGTGTCAGGAACTGGTAAGGGGGTGCTGAGACAGGCTCTATGTGACCTAACAAGAGTTGAAGGGAAAAAAAGAAAAAGAGTTGAAGGGAAGAAGGAAGGGAAATAATGCCCGAGTGCCTTTTCATGGAGAAACGTCTTCACTTCCTGAACCGTCCAAGGCTGTGCACTCAGCAGTGTCCTTAGATTCCCCCAGGACACCCCAACCTGTCAACATACAGGCTGCAAATGGGAAGTCCTGGCAGGAAACAAGCATGGACATCCTTCGAACACTCATCAATGTAATAGGTTTAATGGGTGTAAGTGGTCGA